CTACTCCAGCGCAGCAGCTTAACAATTTGGCAAATCCAAAAAGCTTGAGTTGAAACCGCATCCTTCGTTGGGGTCACAGGTTTTATTTGCTGATTGAGGGCAAACTGTGAAAATAAAAAGCGAGAATATCTATTTTCAGCGCGTCAAAGTTGTGGGCAGAGCGAAAAGCCAAATCCAAAGCGAAAGCTGAAGCTGGAGCGTGCAACTACTTAATTGAAAAAGTTTAAAGCTAACAAACAAGCCCCAAAAAAAACTTTAGCGCGTGGCCCCAAATGGGCGACAAACAGCATTCGACTGCCACTTGGCAATTGGTTATTTCCTAAACTCTATCCTAACTCTAGCTATGTGATAACTGAACTGCTGCAATCGGATCTGCACAAGATCATCGTGTCGCCGCAGCATCTGTCGGCGGACCACATCAAGGTCTTTCTCTATCAGATACTGCGCGGCCTGAAGTATTTGCACTCGGCCAGGATACTGCATCGGGACATCAAGCCGGGCAATCTGTTGGTCAACTCCAATTGTGTGCTGAAGATATGCGACTTTGGGCTGGCACGCGTCGAGGAGCCCGACCAGGCCAAGCACATGACCCAGGAGGTGGTCACACAATACTATCGGGCACCCGAAATACTCATGGGCGCTCGCCACTATTCGTCGGCTGTGGATGTGTGGTCGGTGGGCTGCATCTTTGGTGAGCTGCTGGGCCGGCGCATATTGTTCCAGGCGCAGAATCCGGTGCAGCAGCTGGAGCTCATCACCGAGCTGCTGGGCACGCCCACCATGGAGGATATGCGTCATGCGTGCGAGGGCGCACGCACACACATGCTGCGGCGGGCGCCCAAGCCGCCATCGTTCTCGGTGCTCTACACGCTCAGCTCACATGCCACGCACGAGGCGGTGCATCTGCTCTGCCAGATGCTTGTCTTTGATCCGGTAAGGCAGACTGGCTTAAGTGACACTCAAATCTTTCGGCTGTAACACACGATTCTSTTTCCCCCTCCTTCCGCTCCTTATAGGACAAGCGCATTTCGGTGACAGATGCTCTGGCGCATCCGTATCTGGATGAGGGCCGTCTGCGCTATCATTCGTGCATGTGCAAATGCTGTTTCACTACCTCAGCCGGAATGCGTCARTATACGGCGGACTTTGAGCCCTCCGCCGGGCAGCCCTTCGATGATTTATGGGAGCGCAAGCTCACCTCAGTGCAGCAGGTGAAGGGTAAGTCAAATAAACGAACGAKAACGAAAAGTTGTAAGAGCATTTTATAAATGAGGAATTCCCCCCTCTCACAGAGGAGATGCACAAATTCATTGCCGAGCAGCTGCAAACGGGCCGTGTGCCGCTCTGCATTAATCCGCAGAGTGCGGCCTTCAAGAGCTTTGCCAGGTGAGTTGCAATCCAGCCATACAACACGCTGCACGTTGCGTACGAATCCCAACCAAACTCGACCCACTCTCTCTCTCTCTCTCTCTTTCTTTACCTATCTATCTCCATCTCTCACTCTCTTTCTTTTTTGTTGTTCCAAAAAATTGTATTCGTAATTTGCTTTTCAGTTGACAAATAAAATTCTCTCTTTCACGCACATTGTTGTCTGTCTCTCTCTCTCTCCCTCTATCTCTCTTTTTAAAAGGAAACTTTGTTTTTTATTTTACTTCGTCAAATGCTTTAAGTCTTTCTATCTCCAACTCCCCCCTCTCTATCTCTGTCTCTATCTATTGTTGATTTATCTTTGAATATAATATAATATATATAATTTAAAACAATTTTAATTTTTGTTTTCTCTTCTTTTTTTCTATCGTTTTTTGTATACAAATATATCGATTATACATCAATATCGATATACATTAATATTGAATCAATTCTATCAAATTTAATTTACATATTTGCGTTGTTAAGCCAATGAGAATGAGAATATCTACTACTACTACCACTACTACCACAACTTGCACTGCTGCTCCTGCCGCTGCTGCTGCCGCTGCCGCTGCCGCTGCTGCTGCTGCTGTTGCCGCTGCTGCCGCCGCCGCCGGTGCGCAGGCTAAATACCAAGACAAAGACCAAGTATATATACTAGGCGCGTACCAATATACCAATATTAACCAATCAAGTCAAAGAAATACCCAGAAAGCAGATCCAAGCAGAAGCTCACAAAACAGAAAGAAAAGAAAGAAAAACACAAAATAGCAAAGCCGCCAGAGAAAGAAAGAAAGAAAACAAACAAGAATAAAGAGAAAGACAAAGACAAGCAAGCAAGATCAAGAAAGCGGGCGAAAAAGCGAGCAAGATACCAAGAATCGCATTGCAGCGATATATATCGATATCGATATCGTTACTACACTATTGTGGGTACCTCGGCAGCAGCAACTCTTGAATCTTTAGGTCTGTTGATCAAGCAAATACATTTATTGCTCTAATACATTTGCTAAAACAAWACAAAAAATATATATCATTTATAATTTTTTTCTATAATTTATATAAATATGATTTAATACCTATGTTCACCATATATATATATAAATATACATATGTATATTCTCTTCCTTTTTTTATAATATATATCTTCTACTTTATTTTCTGTTTGTTTAATGCAAATGTGTATAAAAATCATTTATAATACTCCTAAGTTGTGAAATATGACTTAACTCATATATATTTTTTTAATTTTCATTACATTTATTATTAAATGGGTTATTTGTGTACATAAATGTTATTTACAAAAAACAAAAAATACCAAAACTGGCAAATTTCTAACTCTCGTCAAATGTCAAACGCAAAAATTGGTCGACAAAAAACAAATCATCCAAATAATTGAAAACAATTGGCTAAAAAAACAAATTTTGGAATCCGGAAAAAATACTATAAAAATACGCACCACTTCTCATAGACATTTCGAGCAAAGCATATAAAAATAGCTTGCAAAGCATAAAATGTAATCTAAATCCCATATAAATATATCTCTCTACCCATAGCCAATTTATATTTACCTTGTTGCAACTCATATATCATATAAACCAAATA